AAATGTCCTGTGATTCTGGCTCCAGAGGCTGCCAAGGGGTGACCCAGAGCGATGGCTCCACCATTCATATTGGTGATTTCGTTGTTCAGTCCCAGCTCTTTCTGTACTGCTAAATACTGTGGGGCAAAGGCCTCATTCACCTGAGAAAATACAAGTGAAAATTTTACAAATTTAAATTTTGCAATACTGTAAACGTGGAAATTTTGACGATGTGCTAATTTTGACTATATTGACGAATTTTCTTTTCTCGTCAAAATTTACACTCGTTAAACTTCACATCATATATATATAGCATCACAACATACATTGATCATTGTGCAACTTTACCGTTGAATTTTCTCGGCTTTCTCCTATTAAAACTAGATCAAATTTATACTTTTAATTTCTTCTCTAATTAGTAATGAAAACATAAATATATATAATCACATTTTTTAAAACCATTGAATCTAAACTAGTGTATCAAATACTGCATGCGTAATTTAGCGTAATTATCACGCCATGCTTGACCTAGTTTGTCACCACAGGCAATTGACCGCTAATAATGAAATCAAATTACAAGAAGGCAATTTATTAAAGCAAATCTTACACACTAAGATAGTTTGTACAATCTTACACACTGTACATACTAGTAGTCTGTACAAAAATTAAATTTTAGTGATTCCGACGCTGAATTTGTGTCCCCGTAAATTCAAAGGATTTATAACTTTTGATTAAATATTTCGTCAAAATTAACACTCGCCAATTTTCGTAAACAAAAAATCATCAATTTTTCAACTCGTCAATATAACCACGTTTACAATAATAATTCAGCAAATAATAAACTAATCTAGATTCTTATTGTATTTTTTGGTTTCCTAACATGGTTGTTTCCGATTTATCATTCATTTGATAAAATAAACATACCTCAACAATCTCCATATCTTCTATACTCTTTCCTGCAGCTTTTAATGCAGCTCTAGATGCAGGAGCAGGCCCAATGCCCATTATCTTTGGATCACAACCTATTTTCAAAAGCCAGAAGTAATTTTAATCATTAATCAAATACACATATTCCTATGGGATATTGCTACGCAATCAAGTCTCAGGCACCCATATAAAACCAGTGTATTCTGTTTAAAGACTTGAAAGCAAGGTAAAATATGGTACCTGAGATTCCATAAGCAACAAGTCGAGCCAGTGGGGTCAGGTTATGTTGCTTCACAGCAGCTCCACTAGCAACCACCAAGGCTGCTGCACCATCACAAACACCCTGTTGGTCAATTTTTTATTGCCATATCATACAGTCATTTTTATTTATTTTTTAAAGAATACTCATACACATGTTGTTAAATTCATTACACTATTAATGATATCACAAATACCTACAAGTAGAAACAATTTTATATTTTTATCCTTTTACAAAACTTTAAAAAATATATGTTTTTTATAACACAAAGTTGTATAATTAAGATTTACAAATATTTTGTTCAATATATTTTGCTTACAGAAGCATTGCCTGCAGAAACAGTCCCTCCCTTCTTAAATATGGCAGGCAGTTTGGCTAAACCCTCCATTGTGGTCTGTGGCTTGGGGTGCTCATCAACTTCAAAGACTTCTGGCCCTAATCAACAGAATAAATCAAAATATGATTTATCTCAAGTGACAACTTCATCTTGACTTTTCTTTAAGAAGAAGGAAGGGGGGTCAGTCAGATTCTTTGAATTTCTTCATCCAATTTTGGGAGAAAAAGTCTGTACAAGGAGTTTTGTTGCTTCCCTCATTTTTATAACAGACACAGAATCAGTTTGCAAGTCAGTGATATAACAAACAGCTAGGAACAACTTGCTAATTAATATAATTATATATCATGCTCTTTATTTATAAATCAAGTACCTTTATAATAAAAAAAAAAGATGGCTTTTTTAAACATTTTTTACAATATCTGGCCTATCAGCATATAATTCATAAATTTTATTTAACCCTTTTTATCAGTCAAAAATTTGAATTTATAAATTCAAAGCTTAGGATGAGTTTGACAAAGAAATAAACAGCACATACCTTTCTTTCCTTTTAATGTAATTGGTGCCATTTCTGCCTTGAAAACACCAGCGTCTTGGGCTAAAAAGAACATGCAAGTAAAACATCGTATATATGTTTCATGTACCTCAAACAAAATTTCAATTAAAATACTCTTGCATATTTGACAATTTCTATTACTTTTATTACTCACCAGCCTTCCACCTTTGTTGTGTTTGAATAGCATACTTGTCACAGTCTTCTTTACTAATCTTGTATTTTTCAGCCAGGTTTTCTGCTGTGATGGCCATAGGAAAACCTGTGTAGGAATCTGTCAGACTGTCCCAAAGTATGTCTTCCATCTACAAAAATATATGGTTTTATTGTAAATGAATTATGAATAAAGTCATTTCCAGTGTGTTTTGTACACCTGAGCCCTAGCTGACCAAGTGATCTGCAGAATTTTTCTTAAGTCTTTCTTATAGTGAATATATACAGTAGTTCGATGCTGTACCCTCATTAATGTACATGTAATATTTTCACTGCAGGTCTCTGTTGCTTTGGGGGGAAAAATATGTTAAGACTCAAGACCTCATAAATTGAGAATGAACTTTATGCTGAATACATTCAGTGCAAATGCAGCTACCTCTGGTGCTTTCCCTAGCCTGGTTCCAAATCGGATATCTCTGACAGCGAAGGGAGCCATGCTCATGTTGTCCACCCCTCCACATAGAACGATCTGACTCTCTCCAAGCATAATCTCCTACAGAGTTACAAAGGACTTTTAAAAGGCATATACAGAACAGATACTAGAATGTGCACTTTTTTTCTCTCTCTGAAACATTTTTGATGTTCAACAGATTCACAAGCAACTTTAAATGACATACACAGTACAGATACTAGAATGAGATTTTTTGTCTCCCAGACATTTTTGATGTGTTTTGTTATTGATTGACAGTTCTAACCTGTGCTCCATTGACGACAGCTTGGAACCCTGAGCCACACAATCTGTTGACCGTTAGAGCTGGCACAGCCTCTGGAACACCACTTCTTAACCCCACGTGTCGGGAAATGTAGATCCCATCTGTAGATGAAGCCTGGAATTCAAATAATTCAGATATCAGTGTTGCATGCAGTACTCACCAAGTAATGCAGAACCATTTCACATAGTTAATCCACTTCTCTTTTTACAAAACAGAAATACATGTGTACCTGTCATGCATCCATTATAAATTACTTTTACATGTTTTAACTTTGTTAAACTTCATTATCAAACTTGTTACTATCTACACAATCTAGTCAAGAATTTACAATATCAAACTAGTATACATAAAATGATATATATCATTGTAACTTGAAAGGAGCAACCTTTTTCATTTAAACAAGATGCATCAAAAGGAAATTCTTCCTATGGCATGTATACCTGAATGACATTTCCAATGATGACAGAGTTGACCAGCTCTGGGTTGACTTTTCCTGCCTCTAGAGCTGCTTTGGAGGCGTGCACCATTAGATCTGTGGAAGATGTTTTGACAAACTTGCCTCCAAATGTCCCAAAGGCAGTTCTCTTTGCTGCCACAATGAACACATCTGAAACAGCTGCAAAGAGAAATCATTGGTTTTGGAATTTTTTTCCTTTTTTTTTCAATATAAACAATAAAATCTTCTTCATTAAATTCATTCAATAAGTGAGGGGTGTATTGAATGTGTGCAAATAGCGCATGGGCAAACATATAAATGTATATACATGCAAGTCACTCTGCACAAATGCACATGATGCACTTTAAGTATGACATGTATGATGTTAATTCGTTCACATCCTGATATCACCACTGACCAGGATATTTAGTTTTGTGTGTATTTATAATTCCCAGCTTTCTATATATAGTCAGGGATGTGAACTGTTCTAGATTTACAAGATGAGTCAAAAGGCTAGATTTGTGTGTACTCATTAGCCCATCATTGCAAACCAGCTAGAAACAATTATAGAGAGAACCAATGTGGACCACCTAGCCTACCATTAGTAGTCTTAACTCTTATCCCAGTTTCAGTAAATATTATATATACTTAAGGTGAAAAGTTTCTTTCACTGCAGATGGCAGAAACCTGAGACTGATCCTCACTATCCAGAAAACTTGATTATTACTTGTATTTACAGTGTAATAATCTATGATTCTCTTGTGAACTCAACTGCTATGAATTGTTGCAAAAGTTATGTAAAAGAGTGCTTAGGTAATATGGTCAATGCTTTTTGATAAATGTATTATTAACTGAATTTTATATTTCCATAATTTTTGTTTAACAAAAGATTAAATTTATACTGTTTAAATAATTGCAGGTGAATTTGGTTTTTTTTTTTGGTAGAAACATTGTCCTTAACACCTGCATAAAGGATAAAGAGCCTGAGGATTAAAGTGTACCCTCTCTTACACAAAGAAGAAACTTCAATACAATGGAAAATTTTAGTTTCTGTCATAAGTCAAGTTATGAAGTCAACAGGGGTAATATTGAACCATGAGAATGTGTTTTGTATACATGTGTGTGTACTGCAAAGTTTGTGTAAATTACTAAATTATGCTGCACATGTAAAACTGCAATTTCTTTACTGACAATTTTTTTCGTTTATAATTTTTTTTTTAAATTAAATAAACGTGTAATAAAAAATATCATATCAATAGCTCCTTATATCTTAAATTCTTAAAAGCATTACAATTGCATCTCCAGTCTTGAGTTCAAAGTCCATGCACTAGTCTTGTCAAAATGACATGACATTGCACATTATTCAGCTTCGCTACTGTAATCTGTCTAGCATCATATTGCAATGAGACTTGGGCTTATTTGAAAATCACAAATATGATTTCACTGAATTTGATTCAAACGAATGTACAAGATACATACCTTTAGATAAAACCATTCTGCTTCTCCTGAGTTCTGAAACTGATTTCTGCACGTTTAACAACCGGCTTGTAGGTCGATCCCGATGCAGATAAAATTAATTATCGGGATCGTATGCAGGTTTGACGTAATTTATCCATATCCGGTTGTAAATAACACGTAGCATATACCGTAGGATTACCTTGATATTTTCATCACCTTTTAAGAATATTCACAACAAACATTCACGTCCATAGGATCAGTTGTTAGAAGGTAATAATTTTAAAGCATATGGGCTTTTTAATTTCAGTAAAATTTATTCCACAAGAACTTTTATCAAAAGATTCATCGAGTAAATTCGAGACAACATATGGATCTTAACAGCTGATTTCTTGACACAGTCAATTAGTTAAAATAGTAAGTACAAACCGGTTTAAATAAATATCTATTATATATGTTTTGTTATATTTTACCTAATTATACGCAGGTATTAAAGATGAAGCACATATTGTGTGTGTTTGTGATATGTATGGTGTTGCAAGGAATTGTTTGTCCCCCTGTAAATCCTAACCCTCAACCCAAAGAAAAAGATAGTGAAGCTGATCAGGTAAGCGATTATTTGTTTGTATTATAATCATGTTGAATGTCAACTCTTAGATAGAGTGGTTTGCCATCTACGAAATCAATATGAGAAAATAAAATATTTGTTTTCTTAAAAATATAATTTTACAATAAAAAAATGTATGTAATCCTGTTTATGTTTTGAAGATTCCCTTTCTTTTATTCACTTAAACAGTGGGCCATGTTGAATTTATTTTGTCAATCTAATTTTTTTTTTGTGCAGGACACTGGCCTTCATTATGATAGATATCTGAAAGAGGTTGTTATGACTTTAGAGGAGGATCCAGAATTTAGGAAAAAGTTAGAGGAGGCTAATGTGACTGACATTAAGGTAATAATTGAAGAAATTTCTTCACAAGGAAATAAACTTATTTTCTTCATTGATACACTCCATGGAGCATGTTAATATAAAAAAAGTTTTTAAAGCTTCCAGGTACATTGAAATTTATTTTTAAAGTGACTACAGTTTTTATCTGTTTAATTGTATGGAGCAATTTTATACACTTAAATTTGGGCATCAAATTGTATGATGCCTACAGAAAAGTCATCCTGGTTTTTAAGGAAATATTAGATTCTTTGAATTCTTTAGCTGCCTGATCCTTTAAACTACTGTTGCAAAAAAAATCAATAGAATTAGTAAGTCAATAACCATGCATGCTAACTGTACTATCTGTAAGTTACACCTGCATTCCAATCAGTCAGTGAATCAGTCAGTTGATAATCAGGTATGTTAATATTCATAATGTCTGCCACTAGAAAAATATGCCGATTTAATTCTTAACAATTTCAGATATTGTAATGATCCCATTTCCATATTGAGGACTAATAGGAATATCAAATTATTTTCTCCCTCGTTTCACTCCTCCACAAATAAATATTTTCTTGACTAATTTATTGAAAAACAAAGAAAAAGAATATACTGTAGGATTGTTGCGTTCATTACAAATCGCAATTTTATTCAAAACATACAAATCAAACTCATAACTTTTACAAGATAAACAATGCAAGGGCTGGGAGGGCAGGGAAAGCCAAAGACACAAAACAACCTGGGATTCTTTGTAACGAACGTCACATTAATCGAGCATTCCCCGGTAAAAGTATTTGTAGTGAGCGCTAAATCGCTCGTGCATGAAAAACCAGTTTCTTTAGATACGAAGTTTCACGGAGATTACCGAAGTAAAAACGTAAAGAAATAAATATATTATTTGTCTTCTTTAAGGCAGCAACTTTCAGCTTTGCTAATAGAACTTGTATATTTTCTTCTAGTCTGGAAAAATTGCCATGCACTTAGAAAAAGTAGCCCACCATGTGAGAGAAAAATTAGATGAAATTAAACGAAAGGAAGTAAACAGACTGCGGATGTTAGCCAAGGAGAAAATGAAACAAATGCAGGGTACGGATGTATTGAAATTGGTAGCTCAGTACGGAGGTATGCTCTCTATGTGTTAAGTCCCTCGTAGTTTCTTATCCTGGAGTAGGCTGTTTGCAGTGCTGTCTCTCACTGATAAAAGTATCCTTCTGGCTTTTTAATGCACTCACAGAGCATATTTCACAGAGCATATTTACCTTTAGGCTAGTTGACTCTATGACTTGTTTAACTTCAACTTCAACTGCTAATTCATGACTGATTCATAGCTTTGTTTGGAACATATTTTATTGATAATATGTCAAATGGATTGGACACAAGTTCCAGAAACTTAAATAGTCCTCTCCCATATAAGTTCAAGATTCATAGTTGCAAACTAATCGTAGGTATGGGTATGTTATTTAACAGCTAGTGTTTAAGAAATGTTAATAGAGAGCATACGGTTTTTTCCACTGTTACTAAATAGAAGTCCCAAGTTCAAGAATGGAAAGAAAAAAGAAATTGAAATCCTTGTAAAATTATTCTAAAAAAGGACAGAAAAACAAATCTTCATGAAGAGAAGTTTGCTGAATTGCTATAACTTCACACATTCATCCAGATACATGTAATAATTCAAGGTACATCATTTCACAGTTGACTAATTTACTCCCAGTGAATATAAATATTTATCAAAATCTGCAGCCTAATGTACCTGTAAAGACTTTATTTTCAAGTGTTTTAATGTGTTCATTATATAGTTTCTAGATTTAAAGATACTTGAAACAAAGGTATATATATATATATATATATATATATATATATATATATATATATATATATATATATATATATATATATATATATATATATATATCTTATATTATATGAAGCATTCTTTCATAGTGAATTCTGGCCATGCAAATACATGTCTGTATGAATTACGTCCAGTCTCAAACAATCAGGTCCTTTTTATCATGTATATGATGATTCTTTGCATCTTAAGTTTTTAAAGAAATTTTGACGACAAGGTTGTTCTGTAAATTAAGATAAAGGGTAAGGAGAATATCAAAGTTCACTTTGAGTTCAACATTGTTTGACATTTGTGGTAACATTCTTATTCTCCCAAGGTAAGAAAATGTCAAACCTCTTCATTGCCTTGAAACACCATCACAGCAATTTTTTATTATTAATGAAACATAAGACTTCTGGGTTAAAGGTTTAAAATTATTTCTTTGAAATAAGGTGGTATCACTGGTACATAGTTTAATTTTTGGTTGTATGTTTAATTTGTTTGCACAAAAATTGATAAATAGGGTTGAATTTGTTTTCATTGCACTGACAAACACTTATTAGCATATACCTATCAATTTTACTTTCAACTATGCACTTCTATTACCTGTATTGTGAATGATAATCATGATCTCATAACGTTATGCTTGATTTAACATTCAACATTCATCCATGCTAATTCTTTGCATACTTTCTTTAAAAAATCATGATTCTTGAAGTTGTTCAAAAAAATAATTCAAATGTACTGTAATGAAAAATCCAATAATTTTGCATTTATATTCAAAGAAATAAAATTTGGCTTTAAACATAAATTGTAAAACTATTAATTATATTTTATGCTAACATGTTTACACTTTTTCCCCTCCAGGAATTCAGAAGATTGATGAATCAGTCTTGCACCATGTAGATGTCCAGAACCCCCATTCATTTGAAATGAAAGATTTAGAAAGACTTATTCAAAAGGTATTGTTTGTCCAGTTTAATCATGCTAAGCCTTTGAATAAATAAACAATCTTTTTTTAATTCAAATGAAAGTATTAATCTTTACCCCTTCTTTCAATCAATTTTGATAATTTCCTAATAAGATTATTCAAGTTTTAAGGAGTTTAAGACATATTGCTAAAGTTCATTTTGAATAAACAAAATTCCAAAAAACATTTTTTTTTTAAATTCACTCACTTCATGTTACTTGAATAAATTACACATTGCACTTTTACATATTATGCTGACAATGTAATGTATGAAATTATTAAAAATGGTCGTTGTAACATTATTTTAGTGTAATTTATTTGCTAAAACTACCTTCAGGCAACAAAAGATCTAGATGAATTGGACAAACAGAGAAGGGAAGAATTCAAAACTTATGAAATGGAGAAAGAACATGAAAGACGAGAACACCTTAAGGAGTTACCAGAGGAGGAGAGAAAGAAAGAAGAACAAAAACATGAAGAGATGAAGAAAAAACACAGGGATCATCCTAAATTACACCACCCTGTAAGAATATATAGAGAATGATTTCAGTTCTTATCCAATTTGGTAATCAGACTTCTCCTATCACCTGATCACTCAGATGACCTATTGCTTTCTGCTTATAGAGTGAAAACAGTGCCTACCTGTGTTTGTAAATATGAAACTTTTAGAAATCAGACTGTTTCTAACACCTGGTAACTCAGGTGACCCATTGCTATCTGCTTTTGTCAATTTCACATTGAATTTTGGCAAACAGCATCTATGGGTAAAAGGGAACAAAAATTTTGAAATTTATGGCCCCTGCCCTCTTGGGCCTTAGGGATGGGACAAAAACCATCAGAATTAATGCAGCCTTTTAAAATCTTTTTTATTCATGGGCAACAAGCAATTAATTGGTTGTCCTGTTTTTAATATGCATTTAGCCCTGTACTAGAAAGTGAAACTTATGGCCACTGGGACATGTGTTATATAGTTAAGTTGGGGCTCCATTGACCATTTAGTGAAAATGCATAAATTCTTTGAAAATATTCTTTGCCCCTGTGTATTAAACAAACAAACTAAATAAAAAATGATGGTCAACAATAGTAACTGTCCCAAAATAATTAATTCATCACTCCTTGATTAGGTGTTCTGTTGTTATGTATTGATTCTATAATTAAAATGCATAATTTATTTTAGTTGAAAATCTTTTCTGTTCCTGGGTATTAAGCAGACAAACTAGCTGCATGGTTATGATGAGGAAAGAGTGACTACCTGTAATCCAGAATTGTAAAATTTTCCCAGGGTTCAAGTTTTAGAATGGGGTTTTTATGATTTTATAGTAAAAATGCATTAATTCTTTGAAAATCGTCTCTGCTTCTGAGCATATAGGAGACCAACTTGGGAAAAGAGTTGTATTTGCACATGTAGCTTGTCATGTATCAACTATGTACTGAACACAAGAACTGTGGTATACTTGATTGTAACAGATATATATATAACCATCTTCAGACTAGATGATGCAGGAACAGTGGAAGCAGCAAGAAAGAAAGAACCCTTCATTTGCATCTATGTAGAACAGAATTATCTGAGCTTTTCATTGTAGGGAAGTAAAGATCAGTTGGAAGAGGTCTGGGAAAAAGACGACCACCTCGATAAGGACGCTTTTGACCCCAAAACCTTCTTCATGAAGCACGGTAAATAATGCTGCTTGTTTTTTACCTAAAGCATTTTTATCTCTTCATTAAACAGGGCAGCAAGGCACAGCTTGAAGAAGTATGGGAGAAAGAGGATCATTTTGACCCCGAGAACTTTGACCCCAAAACTTTTTTCTATAAACATGGTAACCCTTTTTACATGTGCTAGATTTCCCTGTCTTTGTTGTGGGTCTCTATATTATGGCTTTTTTTTTAGCTGCGAAAAATTCAAAAAATTTTTACTTTCTCATACAAAATCATGGCAGTTTCACATGTGTGAGAGAGGTTAAATTGGCATTCATGCACATTGCTTTCATGCACATTATGATATGAAAATTCTTTTAAAAACTCTGAATAGTATAAAACAAAAAATTACTGCTTTGGAAGTTTAAAAAAAAAAAAAAATAAATAAAAACCGAAACAATCCAACAAAAAAGCCATATTGAAAAGCTAGCTGTAAAACTATCCTATCTAAACACAATAATTCTAATATAATAAATATAAAAGTAAACATGTATTTTCTGTAAGGATCTTGGGTTAATTGGAATGAAATTTTTTCACTTTACTGACAGAGAATGTGCATGATCAAATCTAGTTGCAATTTTACTAACAAAGCATGTTGAGGCATTTGATTGTCAACTCAATGGTAACTTGGTGATATATGTACTTTAAAAACAGTAATTTTGATACAATTTTGTACATTTTTTTACTGTACATGTTTTATGATAATTTTTGGAATGACATATAAGCTTTGCTCTCCTCAACTTATTTTTTATTATTATTTTTTTTTTTTGGTATATTGAAGCTTGAACAACTTCCACTATTGCTCAATATTTAATGCATCAGTTTATGTACCAAAGATATACTCTATTCCATGTTGTCTTTTACAATTACTTTGACTATAAGTGATGTCATAGAAATCTCTCCAATGACATAGTAATAGATATCAATAGCTGCTTTAATATACTTCCAGTATTATTTTTAAACTGTTAAAAAAACCTTGATATGAATATGGAATCTTAAGGTAATTTTTAGAAAACAGTGTACATGCTTTTCTTGCGTAATTTAAGCCATTTCTATCCTTCCAGTAAAGTTTCTAATATCTAGAGAGGGTTTCTAGAATGCACAGGCTATAAAACAATAAAAGATATATTGGCATTGTGATTATTATGTCTTTTGATGCTCTCGATTAATAGGTGCAATATTAATACAATATCAATAGCTCAAAAACGAATATAGGATTATATCAGAATGCTTAACTTTGCAGTGTATATGTATTTTTATTTTGATGTATTCAATACACCTTTTCTTCACAATACACAAAACCCTTTGTTGTATATTTCCAATTTTCCTTCTTTTTTCCTGACATTAAAACAGCCAAACTTTATCTTTTGTTCAACCATCATTTATCATCTTTCTTTTACATTTCTTTTACACAAGTAAACAATGGTTCTGGCCCAGATTTGTATTTCAGCTTTCACAGTTTATCCCTTGTCTTTGGAGTGAATCACAGAAAATATAGAGGAAATTGTTTCTCATAAAAATTCTGTGTATGAATACTGAATCATTATTTTTAGTCAATACATATAAAAGACAAATCAAAGTTTCGAAGGACCTTATTGAACTAGAAATGTCTTCCAGTTTAAGTTTTATCCATGTTGTCGTAAGGACAAATTTTCTTTATATAATGATGTTTAGTATGAGTTAACACATAGAAAAATCTGGGGAAACTGTTATTTTGATTTTCTCTTCATCAGATTTGGATGGAAACAGGTTACTTGATGAGGAAGAAATTGAAGCATTATTTCAGAAAGAGGTATGATTTACACATTGATATATATACTAAAAGTTGAACTTCCATCTTAAACATTGAAATCTCAGATGGATTAGTTTGAATGATATCAAAGTCCAAACGCTAATTCCTAAGTATTTTAAAACTCAACATCTCAAATTCTTGATTGATATTCAAACATCGATGTTTTTCCACAGTCCAATTGAGTTTAAGATATTGAAGTTACAGCTTATAAATTATTTTTTTTTCTGTATATCAACAAGTGAAAAATGAGCATTATTTTTTTATGTGCATTTTAATTTTCCATATGAATTATACCCCTCTCCTCCCCCATCAAAAGAAAAAAAAATGAAAATTATACAAAGCTGGCTTGAGGACCAATCAGTTAAGATTTTAAATCATTATATAAAATATGGTGTGTCTTTGTTTAGCTGGACCAAGTGTATGACCCCAATAACCCTGAAGATGACATGGAGGAGAGGTATGAGGAAATGTCACGCATGAGGGAGCATGTCATGAAGGAGCTGGATAAAGACGGAGACAAACTGGTCAGCCTTGACGAGTTCATGCAGTACACAAAATCTGAGGACTTCAACAAAGATGAGGGATGGGATGTAAGTTATGGCCCTTGAAATTTTTGGTTTAAAATACATAATAATACATGTATACTAATTTATGGTTTCCTATACATGGGAGCATAACCATAAAAGTCTGGAAAATACAAAGTTAAATAAAAAGATTGAAATGTATAATGCAAACATAAAAAAGAATACACAGTAAAACTCGTTTAGTACGAACACGGATATTGCGAATTCATCTTGGATCCCCAGCTATATAAATTTAATGAATTTCTTATACGCTTATAACAAATTACGGTTATAGCGAAGTAATTTCATAGGTCCCAGCGACTTTGTTATAACCGAGTTTTACTGTACACTAGAAAAAGCTTTTTTGTTTCTGAAATTTAAATTTTATTAATTGACTTTATTCAAATGTTATGTACAATTAATCTGATTTTTCAGACCCTTGAAAATGAGGATCAGTACACTGAGGAGGAGCTGAAGGAGTATGAGAGGATGTTAATGGAGGAGGAGAACAGGAGGAGACAACAGGGGGCGTTTGACAGCCACGCTCAGCCAGGAGTCGTGGTAAGACCACCTTAACCATTGCATTCTTAGCCAATATTATGGTCACCTTTTTTTCACAGAAAAAAACCTTTTGGTTATAAAAATAAAATCTGTCCTTTTTCACAGAAAAAAGTTTATAACTTTGTTGAAGACTGGTTCCAAAATAACTTTTTTGTCAAGGTTAGGGTAAAATTATTTATCAAATAGCTTGCTTGTCATTTCCCATGTATTTATCCCGTTATCCTTGCAAAATCCTAGAATCAGCCACCTCACCAAGGAAATGTTCAGGAAATGCAGATGCCTCATGGTGGAATGCCCCCACAAGGTGGTTTCCACCCTCAAGGGGGAATGCCCCCACAGGGTGGTTTCCACCCTCAAGGTGGTATGCCTCCACAAGGTGGAATGCCCCCACAAGGTGGTTTCCATCCTCAAGGTGGTATGCCCCAACAAGGTGGACAGTTTGAACAACTACATCCTGATCAAGTAGCAGCCATTCAGCAACAGGCACAACTTCATGCACAGCAACAAGCCCAGTTCCATGCTCAACAACAAGCACATGCTCAACAAGCACAATTACATGCTCAGCAACAAGCACATGCACAACAGCAAGCTCAGCTCCATGCACAGCAGCAACAACAAGCCCAGGCAGGGGGACAACAGGTAAGACTATAAACTGGAAAAAAGTCATATGTTGTGAATGAGAGACATTTACTTTTAACTGTGATTGTGAAAAATTGATGTCCAAGACCTGTAATACATTTATCAATGTTACCATATAGCACTTCACACTAGGTTATTTAATTCAGCTATATTTTACCAATTTTATTCATATACATGTATTGGTTATTTACAGCCACCCATAGGACAACAGACAGGTGAAGGCCATCCAGCAGCACAGGCAGGTCAAGGTCAACCACCAGTTCAACCAGGTCAAGGACAACAGCCCGTCCAAGGTCAACAGGGTCATGTTGACCCACAGCATCAAGGACAGCCAGCTGTCCAGCAAACTGGACAGGTCCCCGCTCAAGGTCAGCAGCAACAAGTCAATCAGCAGCAACAAGGGCAGCAAAAACAGCAACAGGGCCAGCAGGAGCACAAGCCTGTGGCTTAAATGGGCTTTTGGTTTTACCTGTTATAGTGGACTAGCTTTAAGTCTGTTTCAAAGAATATTCATGATAAGTCACCTTCATGTATTCCATGATCACATTCATGAAAATCCACCTTTAAAATGTCATCAGAATGGAAAGTTAAATATTTTCAGATGTTCAGGAAAAAATTTAAGAATTATATGGTGCTATTTTAGAGAAATAGTCAAAGAAATTAATTTATAATTAATGAATATATACATCTAAACTATATACATCCATAACTGAAAGATGGAAATGTGTTCTAATTATAGTTATTGTACAAAGTCTTTGATAAGATTGCTTGTAAAGAAAAATACCAAATGTGACGAGAAGAATTTTCAGAAATAGATTTTTGTTGTGGTGCCAAACATCATATGAAATCAGCTTAGCTTATGGTCATTATTATGTCTAAGATCTAGTCAGTTGTAAATTTCATAATTGAGGCCCATGTATTTAATTTTTTTTTTTGAAAACACATACATGTATATTAAAAGAAAGGAATTTTAGTTGTCTGAAAGTGATATCTCAGAAACATATTTTAATATATTATAGTCATTATGCTTTAGAGAAGATACCATTAAATTAGATTTATTTATTTGGTTTATTAGTACCATGTAAAAGGATTTCTCTTTTTTTTCTATTCATAGATTTTATCTGATATAAGATATCACTAAAATGGTAATTTATGGTATTTATTTTGTCCTAAATATTGCCTAAGTACCAGACAAGGAAAGTTATCAAGTCTTCATTTCTCTAGCTTGTTAGGATGCTAGGAAATAGAACATTTGAGAATTTTCCACTTCAGATATAATGAACAAGAAATACAGCAAATTTAGCTTAGTTTTAAGGACTTTGCTTTATTTTTTCAAAAAATAAATGTATTGTTTTTCAGCACACAGGGGCTTCATTTTTTCATATTTATGTAACGAGTTCCAAAGGCATTAGACTTTGTTGTGATCAAATATTCAGAAAATTTTGAATACGATTATGATTTTTTTTTTTATTATGTGCAGTGGGGTTTCCAAAGAGTAAAATGTTATTTGAGTACAATTAGATGGAAGTTTCTTTATGTTTTTGAAATAATGTATTGCAAAGAATGGTATATTTTGAAAATCGTAAAACCAACATGTAATTTTTCAACTAACTCTGTTCTTAATATTAATTTGAAATTTATATGAATATTTGTTGAAGGTAGTTAAAATATAGTTTACAGAAATCAATCTTTAACAGAGTAACTGATATTGTAAATTACTTTCAATGCAAATTTTCAGTCTTGGTCAAAATTTCTTCTGAAAAAAATTAGGCACAATTTATTTTGAAGTCTGTTGTAATAATTTGAGCTATATGTTATCCCTCGATTTTTTTCCAATAAGCCCTTTTGCAGTGCTGGTAGAATGTTGTTTATTTTTGTATTGTTAAGTGTTTATTCAGTGTCATATCTTGTTTTTGTTTGTGGATGTTATGGGAGAGTTAAAACACTTTCAAGTGAAACATGTAAAATTTTCTTACTAATTTATTTTTATATTAATAATCAAAATGACTTCTAAAATTATACCAATGTGTAAACATCTTTACTTAGTCATGATATTGTCCTTTTCCTAATATGTTTTTTTTTCCTTTAATAGTGGTTTTGAGATATTAATACACACATATATTGGACATGTATGCATACATGTAATTTGATCAAAGTGCCGAGTTGTATATTCATACTTCAACTATATTTGCTTAAAAGCACATGGCAATCATTTTCATATATACACCCACTTTGTGTAAGTAATGTGATAATTCTGTAATTTTGTTTTACCAACATTCCATTGCCAGATTTTAGTTTTTCCCCCGTTTTTAGGACACTTGTTAAGGAAAATATGCATAATTGTACACTTTTTTTTTTTTGTTCACAAAAATTTGGTGTGTAAGTTCTAGTGATATTCTGAAATACATATATTACATGTATTTAAAAAAGAATATCACACAATTTAATTAATTCATGCAGATGTTTAATTGTTAATTATTTATGGAAATTTGTTGTGTGTGACACTGCTGTATGACATTGTGCAATGTTTTCTGGAATTTCTACCCAACATTAAGTCCCTATTGTAAGTTTCTGTGGGATTTTTCAACACTACATATATAGTATGTAAAACTTTTTCAATTGTACATTTAAAATCACAGGGTGATTGAATCATGCAGCTTTGGTATATGGAAGTATTAAATTGTTAAATCGATAGTTTGTTGTTTTAATCTGGAAAAGGAAAACAGTACATTTAAAGTACTGAACTGGAAAATATTTTAAAATGGAGCACTTTCACTTAGAGTCAAGCTGATTCAAGAATATAGTGTTATTAAATCATCAAAATAGTTTCAGGTTAACAGGTTGCAAAATTCACTTGAAATATTTGTTATTTAACACTTTTCCCCTTTTACGGGTAATTTGGAGAGTTTATAGACATTAAAATTCAGCTTCATTTAGAGTTTACTCATGTACAGTAAAACGTGGATATAGTAAACACCTAATAACTTATGTTTATTATGGAAGTCTTACAACTGATGCTCATTACGAAGTGATTTTTATTTCCTGTAATTTTAAAGCATGTTATGATTGAACCTAGCTGTAATAGGTTAAGTTTTTGGTTAATCAAAACTGTTCCCCACTAGCACTTCACTCAAGGTATTTTGCTGTATTTTGAGAAATTGATAAACTTTGGATATATAGTCCAACCATGATACCTTGTACTCGATGAGACCAAAGAAAAAAATAGATATTCGGGATTTTAAAATATTTAGCTTAAAAGCATTTTTAAAAGGTATTTGGACTTTCATCTCACTTCGAAATATACATTGTAATGTAAAGAAGGATAACCTTATCGGCCATGGATATAGCGAAGTTGACTATTACATGTTTACATTAAACCACTGACTAAAACTGCTTTTCTTAAAAATAAAAGAAGAGAAACATTGCCATGAAGTTTTTAGTACATTTATTGATCAGTATATAGGGGTACTTTTCAAATCCCTGACATTGCTGAACAAGTAATTTTACATGGATAATGTTTAGCAAACATATATTATTTATACATGTACTAAAGTTTTTTTTTTTCTATTGGGAAATAACTTTATATTTTGATACCAAACAAAGCACTATGGGAAACGGGCCACTCTTGTAGCCCGCTGAGTACAGAAAAAATATAGTGTTTAGGCTAGAACTTTGAAACAAATGAGTCTCGGAGAGGGTAAAATTAGACGTTACACAAAACGAACAATTGATTTGAGAAATCATACTAAAATACAAAAAAAATGAATAAACTCCTCTTGAAATCGAACGATCAGATGTAAATCCAGTAGTCATGAGCTGAATTGACTCTATATACATAGCTTGCAAATCCATGGTAGTTTTAAAAGGTAAGGGCCATCAAACTGAAATTGTAGATTTGCCCCCCCCCCCGGACTTTCTAGTTTGGAACCACTGCCCCATCACATATTGCTAAAATAGATCAAATACATTTCTACCAGTTATCATATATTTTAACTTGGAGCTATATAAATACAATTATTAGTATATTAGTTTTCAATTAAAAGAGCGATATAAATACATATATACTAGTATATTTTAGTTTTCAATTAAAATATATGTCATTTAACCCAAAAATAGAAAATTTAAATAGAATATTTCAGTTTACAAACAACCGAATGTCCACAGCTCTCAAATTTTGTATCTGCTGTTACTGGATGGTTTCATGACAAAGCTCAAGTTCAAATGCCCCCGCAGGGTTTTGAAGCATTTTGTTGAATTTAATGAGTAGTTCTATCTTTACATCCCTCTCACTTTAAAAGCAAATATATCAAAGTTGGAGAAAATTTTACCAAGGGGAGGGGGGGGGGGTTAACTCAACAAATAACGAAAACCTTTGGCTGGCTCTAGCAATCAACTCAAATCGAAAAAGTCGATTGCATAAACACACTGGTAAAGAACGCTTAGGGAAGGCGGAGGTAAATAAACAAGCCTTTAAAATAATTTATAAGGAAGACAACTTTATCTAATTTTTGTAAATAACCCGATTTTCACGACTACTATTTCTTTTCTACGGTACTTTAATATCAAAGATTAACTAAAACAAAAATTCTAGGGGCTGCGATGGGTACGTCTATATGCCCGTCTTTTAAACAAGTAACGATAGTACAATTTGCAAAATTCAAATTTACAATTTACTTAAAAAAAACAACAGAAATTTCAGAGTAGAACCCTGTAGTTTGTCATAATTTACTTGAGATCCATCTAGCGTTAACAGTCTGGTTGATTAATTCAGCCAATGATTCTCGGTTTTGCATCAGTGATTGTTCGTTTTGTAACGGAATCTGTTGATTTTTCAATTGTATCTGTAAGTTGTTTCAATTGTTTTACATTTTAGTATGCTTTTTTTTACAAAATCATTTGTTAGTTTTGCATTGGTCTTTAATACCCATTTCCGCCGCCCAAACTATCATCCTGAGTCAAATGTTATGAATAAGTACGGTTCTCAGTTAACCTTGGACTTTCAGTAGGGCGTGACTTTCTCTACACTGCATACATGTAATTAGCGTCTCTCAAATAACCAATAGATTCTGATTTGTTAAGAAATTAATAACATCAGCAACTTTAAATTGTTATTGACAACGATAAGACGACTTAAGCCCCACCTCGCTGCCTCACGAAACGATATCATTGGATCATTAATACACTCCTTGACATTCGCCCGAACATATATTTCAAAAGTGAGTGAAAGGATGTGTAAATTTCAGACCCTAATTATGCAATGTCGAGACTTACTGAAAGTTCAAGGTTAACAGGGAATTGTACTTAGAGCACATCAAGACAACTAGTGAAAATAATATCATCTTGGGTTTCGTATTTCGTGCACACTTCTACAACCATTTCTACTCAACACACGCATAGACATTTCATCCCTTTTTTTGATCTCTTCAAGCTTCGAATAAAACTTCTGAAGTCTAATGTTAAGGGGTTCCTTACGAATGAATTTGAAAGTATTCATTAACTGTCGAGCTTTGGCTTTAAAGGGGTTGATGTTTAAACTTTCACAACGCCTAACGCTGGGAACACGAGGCCGGGATTCGGCTTCGCCAATATCACTCGACTCCTCGTCGGCTTCTAAGATGGCAAACGTCGCTTTCTCCTTTTCTTTCTCCCGAGATTCGACCCAGGAGAAAAACGATTGCCTTCTGACCTCGTCCCGTGACCTATTATCGACATGTTGGAGAGAAGGAAAAGTTTTCTTCTTTGTGTTAATCCAAGCCATGAACGATTTCCTCCGCGATGAAATTTTTTTCGGTTTCTGTGGATTCTCTTCTTCGTCAGAGTCCATCTCTTCGGATGACACACTCGCATCATCCGGGGTATTCACAACCGCTGCAATCTGCAGATACACAGATCCGCGCCTATTGGTCAACGACGTACCTAACAACGGTAGGGTGTCGGGGCGTTTGACCGTTTCCGGTTCTTTCTTTGTTTCCGTAGCAACATCCAACATTTCCGGGGATGGATTGGATATTTTGATTTCTGGCATGGTACAGTTTTTACTAGGTGGCTCCAGTAACGTGGTTTTGGAGTGGAGGGTCGGTACCGTGGAGGGTTTTATTATTTCAGGGGGTCGATGTGGTGATGGTGGTGGCTGTATTGCTTCTTTGATGACAGAATCAACTCTAGCGGTGGTCTCAACCTCTGTTGGCAGAGTCTCGGTTGAACCTCGGAATTTGGCAAGTCTTTCCTTGTAGCCTGCGTTTGGTTCACGTCCCAAATATCTGTAAAACCAAGATATACAAAAATTATCATGCTTCATTATTAACAATTCATTTCATTTTTTATTTTCTGCATAATAGTTAAAAATGAATATGCATAATTTTCACATGTAACATAGTCCACAAAAATGGCAAATTGCTTTCTTAACAGTACAGGAAAGACATTATATGTACAAGCATATCTGTTTGTAACATGTGCAGTTGTTGCAACCATTTTTGAAATAAGATCAATATTGAAATAGTGGATGAAAATGCATTTCAGAACTAAAACTAAAGTTGCAACCACTAGTGAAATAACGAGAGAGAAGTCATCTTGTCGTTCGTCAGCTTTAATTAGAAAATCCATACTATCGGTAAAATGGCCTATTTGTATGCATAGGTATTGTAGCTCAGTAGAATTTCTAGGAAATCTTTTAAGGAAATGTGAAGATATCGAATAGTGATTTTGTCTACTCTATTTAAAGAAAACAAATTATGTGCAGAACAAACATGGATCCAACATTGAAGAGAGAGGTTGGATCTAGTGCAGTGGAGGAGTAAGCATCCCCTGTCAATCGGTCTCACCCGGTGAAAGGCTTCAAATTTAGACCTTTACTCGGCACACAGGGCTATTGAGCAGTGAGGGTTCTTTCACGTGCCAACGCCTTCCGTGACATAAGGCCTCGTTTTTTTTAAGGTCTCATCCGAAAGACCCACGATTTTCACTTCAAAATGCAAAGTCTATGGCGAAGGAACAGTTGCTCTCGTCTTTTTCATAGATTTGAGTCAGTCCCTAACTCATGACTTTCCGCGATTACGCACACCTTTGAAGCAGTAACGTGTTCTAGCTGTGCTAGCACCTACTGCTTCACCGGACCTCGGTTCTCTACATATCCTGCAGTGGGATTCGAACCCGCGACGTAAGGATCAACTCCTTACTCTGCACTCGCTCTAACCACTGTACCACGCTGTCCATAAAATTGAAATAAGTACAAGTCTTTTAAGTCCTCGTACTTACGTGATTGCTGCATGGTTGTTGTCGGATTCAATTCTCTGGACCTGTTTCAAAAAATCTCTCGTGTCGAACCTATCTCTGTCAATATGAGAGATGCTGAAGGTCTTTTCCCTCTGATATTGGTCCAGCTGTTTCTTAAGATAAAGTTCAGCTAAATTATTTTTTATATTCAGTCTTTTCAATGAAACCCCCGACGGACCTGATAAAGTGTCCATCTTCGGTCTTCACACTTGCGTGTTTAGTCCTTTTTATTCAATTTGCGTCAGACGTTTTTTCACATCTTCACAAAATTGTTTTTAAAATGCAGAATAATTAAATTGTCACTTTCACTTGAACTTGCATCAAAGAGATGCTGAATCACAAGCAATATCCATTTTCAGTTCAAATTTTCTGCAATACACACCCTCGTTAATTAGGTTATTTCCAACATTGTCATGTAATAATTCCAGAACACGAAGATCAGAAATAAATTACAATTAAGAAGATTCGGGAAAAAAAAATGATTACAAACGGGAAATTTGTATTGCAGACCAGTAATTAGCCGAGCATGTTGAGTCAGAAAGAGAAATATCCATTTGCAGGAATACACGTTAACCGTAAACAAATCTTGAAATAGAAAACCGGTGTAGTTAATGCCATTGTATGTTGCTTGTAACTACCAGCTTTATGAAAGTTTTAATCCAGTATGTTATTAATCCGCCGTACCAGTTAATCATTTTGTTAGCATATTAATTACTAAAGCCAAAACCTTCAACATGGATATGAATCCGATATTCTCATGCTCTCAACCTTGGATAAGGCCGCGGGGTCAATATGTTAGGAAGCTGGGGATTTATTATTTTAATATCAACCTGAATTTTATTTTGATTTCGTTAATTTCAGATCCATTTTTTAATTTTTAACAAAATTACAGTATTTGGGCCTTTAAATGGAAAGAGACCAATCCTTAGACTTTCAATTCCCTTCATAAAAATATATTTTTACCGATGATATAAAAAAGAGAAGGAAAAGATTCGAATATAGGGAAATAAGATTAAGCCTTTATTCTATGTATTACATAACTGAACTTTTATCTGAGCAAAATATGTTTTAAGTCTCACGTTTGTAAACACTCGTTATATTTTTTATCCCAGATTTATTTTTCAACATGAATACACAACTAATCGTGTCACCATTATCGGATGAACAAAGTAATTCACTCAATCAAAATAAAAATCACCCGACAATTAAATCTTTGACCAGGGGCTACAACGCCTTCATGTATAAAGTAGCATAATGACCACTAAATAAAGTAATTGCAATTTAAAATGTGCTAAAAAAATCAATTCAGTGTGACAAATATTTCGATTTGTATAACATATTGCTTTAATCCGTTAAAAGCGTGTTCAAAAGCTTTAAAAGACAAACTTTGCTATATCCATTAAATTTGCAAAATCCGTTTTCCTTGTAAAATAATTAAAAGTGTAAATACATTATACCATTGCAGAGAGGCGTGAAACACCAAAGTTGCAAAAAAGATCTAACATGGTTAAACAGTTGATAAAAATATCACCGATTCAACATACACAGTACTCTGATGTTGATGTTACAAAGACACAGGAGTGCTTCACTGGCAACATCTAGGAGACCAGATCTTCCAAACTACAAAGTGTTTAATCAATGGGAACCCAAGAAAATTTTAAAAGACCTGTTTTAATATTCTTATGTGGCAAAATTTAAAAGAAAACTTCCATATGAAGGTCACCTGAGTATAATAAAACAATTTAGAAGATCCATGGAGTGTAAAATAAACAGATATGAATTTAAGCTTTTTTGCCCAAAAGCAAGAGAAATGGAATGGTCAGGATCAACAAAATTAATAGTCCAGTACTTTGTAACAACTCATAAATTAGATTCTAATTTCTCCCCCGTTTATTTCTTTCAACGTGCAGAGTATTACCAAACTAAATATAGTGCTTTTGAGAGAATTCGTTAAATTTATGTAGCTGGGGATCCAAGGTAACTTTGCTATATCCATTGAATTTGCAAAATCCGTTTTCCTTGTAAACGAGTTTTACTGTATTTTATCAACAGAGCTCCCCTCCCCCTCCCCGAGAAACCCCAGAAACCCTGATCCTGAGACTACAATTTATCTTTTTTTTTTTAATGTAAGAAGCATCCTAGTTCATCAATACTATGCACTTTGTTAAACTTTTTCTGCTCAACACTAAGAAACAAAATTGTTTAATCAAAGCAGAGAAGAAAATTTTAAAAGAATTAATATATTTTTACTATATCCAATAGACCCCCATCCCTACACCAGAACATCTGACCCAAGAGTCATAAAACTCACAATTCTGGGAGAAGCACTCCTGCTCATCACAACTATACACTCAGCTTCCTTGCTTTGTGACCAGGAGCAGAAAATAATATTAAACAAAACAAAAAAAAAAATGTTTTTCGCTATATAATCAATAGAGCCCCTCCCCCTTTCACCAGAATCTTGCTCTTGATAATCGTGCACTTAGTTTGTTTAAACTATACACGGGAGAAGAGAAAATTTCCGAACAATTGATGCATTTTCACTATATAAATCAATTGAGCCCAGCCCTAACACTGGAAACCCTGATCCATGGGCAAAGAAATTCACATTTTTGGAAGAGGTACCCTTGCTCATTATAACTAGTAGTTACTTAGTTTGTTTGTTTAATATCCAGGAGAAACGTTTGATCGTTGAGAACGTTTGATCAACATTAACTATAGTTATTTCCATTCATATTTCACTTGATATATCCCCGTGAAATTGAATTTTAAAGACCGAACAGTCACGTCTGTATCATATTTGAATGTTCCACTGACTAAAGACGATAAGGGGCCAATGAGAAGACAAAAAATAAAAAAAATCAGGATTTGTAATTTTCACGTAAGATGTTGCGTTGCTGCAGTTAGCCCTAAAATATCGAATGAAATTCGTCAGGGGTTCAACAGCCACGAATTGACTAGGGGTAATTCACTTTGTAAAGTGGAGCGGTGAACATTATTTTCTCTCTCTCTCTCTCTCTCTCTCTCTTGGCTTCAGTGCAATTCTGAAAATCGGGCGCATTTATTTTAATTTTGTTCGCGATTGTTTTGATGTTTCGTGTCAATACATGTACTTGTTTCATAGCAATATTGTATATGGAATCTCCCATCTTACTCGACACTCGAGGGCACACTCAGAGTACGATAAGTATTTTAAAACTGATGCAGGCTACTGAGAGATAAGTTGACATCTCAGGAATTTCAACAACCTTGTTGAAAGACAGCATTTTTTCTATATTCTATATTCGTTTTAATGGCATTATAACCCATCACTGGGTCATAGATTTGTAAACTATTAAACAATAGTCCTTTTGTAAACAACAGTTTGCGAGGTGTAAGTTGGATATATATAGATATGATTGTCCTTTCACAGGCACTTGGAGACTGACAAACCTCCACCCTTTCCATTTCTATTCTTTTCAAATCTGGGGTTGACACACCTTTTTTCCTATTTTTGTATTCTTTATGCACTAAATGTTATCGATAATGTAATCCATTCGTCTCTATAAACTCTTTTTAAAATACATGTATATCGTTTGCGAATGACTCTCTCTTTTTAAGTGTATATCAGTCGAAAACAATATATTTAAATAAAACAGCTTTTTAAAGACAAAAGGTGTTAAATTTTCGATAACATTAAGTTCATAAAACAATATAAAAATACAAAATTACCTCGTTATAACAAGTAATTTTTCTCGTTATATATTACGAGTGAGTAATCCTCTTTGTCTCGATATCTAGTCAGAAAGATACTAACTTGCCATTATGAGATACTAACTCGTAATAACAATTTAATTTTTTCCCCATCTTCTCAAATGGGCCTTTCCTGCTTTATTCCTTAAGTTTACAAACTTAATATAAATGTTACTGCATTTATCCCATAGCCATACTATAACAGACTGTACAGAAAGAACTGACCTCCCTAGACATTTAGCTTTTCCTGTGATGCGGGAAAGTCTCGATTTAAAGCTGCTATAGTTTATATAGAGTCCTTATATCGGTGTCCACATCCTATTTTACGAAATTGGATGCAGCAGTGGGATTCTGATTTTTGATGACCTGATTCAGGGGGTTCTACATCTAGGACATGTCTATTTACAGGTTAAACTTTGGGACAAAACTTTCGTGAACTGGGGGGGGGGGGTTAGAGGGAATAGCAAGCAGAGAAAACTTGTACTTCCTATGCTATAGCATGTTTTGTTTTACTTTATAGATTTCAATGATCAATTTAGTTATCTGCAAGCTTTTGTAATGAAACTTAAAATGATGACTTTCTTGAACTCAAGACTAAGGACCAGAAGCTGAGAGGTCAAGGACTCCCCCCTTCACCTCCATTTTTTACCTCTTCAACCCTTAGGAAGGGAATTAGTTCCCCAAATTAGCTTCTTTTTTCTTTGTATTTTTTCTTTCTTCAGAGTTCATTTTCTTCTGGAAAACACCACCAGCATTTGAATGGGATCATCATTTCTTAACACATAGTTTCCCTTTCTTTGGTGTACAAGCATTTACTTTCAATGATTGCAGTTTTCTTTTAAAATACAATGTACTTGTACATGTATCTCCATTCAATTTTCACACAAAAAGAGCCACAACTTCATATTAAAACCAACAGATGAGGAAAAATTTATTGTGTAGAAAACAGTTCTTAAATTTTGTTGAAAGCTGCTATGTCCATACTTTGTACCTGTAAGGGAAACAAAAGATAAAATTTTAACCTAATATTTTTTCAGTTAAGTTTTACAAATTACCAACTAAACTGTTCTTATATTTCAAAACCTAGAATTAAATTATTGAAGTAGTGAGATGCTATTTAGCGAATCAAATTATGTTGACTCAATTTATCAAAATAAGAATTTGTGTGCAGTGCAAGACTTACGTAATCTTCTATTCCCGTGATTTCCTCCTCCAGAAAATCTGTGGAGATTTTATCGTCTTCTATGACACAATTGATTTGGAGCTTCTTTATACCATATCCAACAGGCACTAACTTTGCTACAAAAGAAAAGAAAATGTACTGGTGTTGAAATTCCAGTGAGTCTTAAACACAAATTCAACTCTTTATGAATTTTACATCTCGTCTATCCAAGACATCAAGTTGTATTTGTTTATTTCATATACATGTACTATTAATTCATACATTTTCATGGATCAGATTTCGTGGTTTTAGGGGAAAAAATAATCGTTTGTGTTGTTGTGTTTTTTTTTTGTGGTTGAAGGATTGCGGAGTTATCTTAATTGCAATTATCTCATTTTATAATTAATAAAGGACATGAACTTGTGGATCATTTCATACCCAAAAAAATAACAGATATTAACCCCCATGAAAAAGAATAATTTCACAGAAATATAGTGATTTTCCTACATTATCCATTGTATTTCAAAACTGATTCATTTTTTTTATTTGAAAATTTTATCATTTTTGGTATCAAAGCCATTCAAAGAGTGTGTTGAAAAAAAACAAACAAAAAAAACAATACAGTATCTAAAATCTGTTAAAATGACAAAATATTGATCTGAAAATGTTCTATATTTAAGTATCATTACATGTGTATATTGACTTGAAAGGACACATGGTATATTCTTTTTATTTCATATGACTGCTTGTTCATACTGATGAAAGTTTTATTAGTGGGTAAATGCAATCCTCACAGATGAATAAAAAGATAATTTATCTTTGGCAATATTTGCAAGTCAGGGGTAACAGGGGAGAACAATGAGTGAAAACATCCAAACTTACAAGCCCCCCACAGAAGTCCATCAGCTGTGATTTTGCGGACTTCTTCTTCCAATTTCTTCATGTCCGTTTCATCATCCCAGGGCTTTACATCTAAAAGCAAACTGGATTTGGCAATGAGTGCTGGCTCTGAAATCAAATAAAAAGATAAAGTTCACTGGGGCAAATTCTACCAATTCTGGAAATTTAAACAAATATCGAAACCAATCCTTGCAAGTCTTTACTGACAAAACACATCTCAAAACTTAAGGTTAATAATATTCAATCCTTTTTGGTAAATCCTAAAATTTAATGCATGTAACCTTTTAATTAAATATTACATACAGGCAACTAGGCTACATTGATGAAATATCATTGAATTTGGCAGCATTACTGTAAAGACTATCAAATTCAAAAGTTCCATCAAACTTGCAGAGGAAAATGTTTTCAATGAAATTCTCAATCTGTAACATCTGATTTGCACATCTTTTACACTCAGTACTCACTCTTTGCTTTCTTGGCTTCGTAAGCTGCTAGTCTTTCCTTTCTTAATCTATCAGCTTCCCCATCATCCTACATAAAAAATACATTATTAAAGTATAATCAAAATATTAACCTTCTTTCATAATCACAACTCATTTTAACTTGTTGCACAGATTTGTGTGAAAGCAGTCTCTAAATGTGATGCATCCTAGGAAACCAAGTTTTTAATCAACATAATGGTGTAATTTGTTTCTCATTCTTTGCCTTATGACCTTAAGAATCTATACATACAAGTAATGATATGCTTTATTAATTACAATTAATTTATAGATACCTCATCACTTCCAAACAGATCAATGTCATCATCGTCGTCATCATCATCCTCGGCGGGAGCAGGTTTTGAAGGGGCAGGAGCTTGTGCTGAAGGGGCTGAAGATCCTCCCTCAAGCTTAGTAACACGGTTCTCTAATTTTTGCACCAAAGCCTTCATATCTTCAACAACTGTAATGGAACAAAATTTTCATCACATTTCAGGGTTACATGAATCTCTTTGCTAGCTCAGAAATGCAAGATTTCTCTCATAAAATTATCTAATAATTTACTTCCATACACTAAACACTTGCATAGTAAATAGTGTCATCTATTTTCCCCCTTCTCTAAAAATTCCACTATCTACATCATCTGACTGATGTAGAAACAAACCCATTTTAAGATCTCTATTTTCCTTCTCTAGAGATGCAACTTTCTTCATCACCTGGCTATAGTAGATACTTACCCTTTTTAAGATCTCTATTTTCTTTCTCTAGAGATGCCACCCTCTTCATCACTTGGCTGTTGTAGATACTTACCCTTTTTAAGATCTCTATTTTCCTTCTCTAGAGATGCCACCCTCTTCATCGCTTGGCTGTTGTAGATACTTACCCTCTTTAAGATCTCTATTTTCCTTCTCTAGAGATGCCACCCTCTTCATCACCTGGCTGTTGTAGATACTTACCCTTTTTAAGATCTCTATTTTCTTTCTCTCGAGATGCCACCCTCTTCATCACCTGGCTGTTGTAGATACTTACCCTTTTTAAGATCTCTATTTTCCTTCTCTAGAGATGTCACTCTCTTCATCACTTGGCTGTTGTAGATACATACCCTTTTTAAGATCTCTATTTTCCTTCTCTAGAGATGCCACTCTCTTCATCACTTGGCTGTTGTCACCTGAGGCTCCTACAGACCCACCCTGTTAGAGGAAAATATTTCTATAAATAGCAATCTATAAAACCTAAATCTTCACTCTACTCAATATTAATTGATATTTTGTATTTTTCAAAATTCACTTTGCTGTTTACTAAAGAATGATATAAAACAGTTGTAGATTTTTCTTCAGAAATCACTTTTTAAAAATATATTATATTTTTTTAACTTAAAAAATTCAATGTCAAACTACTGTTTTGTTTTTTTTTTAATGGAAAGCACTACATAATTTTGTCCTTTGCATGTCAGTCATTTTTGCTCTGAAATTTTGTGGACACATTCAACATTAAAATTTGTTTTACTGAAGAAATGTATACCTAATATTATTCTTTGAATCAATATTATATTCAATAGAACACTATATCAAACTACTTTCCCAAAAGAAAAGTCGATTTGTATGAGCAAAGAAATATTTCTATAGCAGGTAACAAGATTACCAGCTATAGAGATTTCACACTTTTTTTCAAATGAGAGCTATTTAGAATTTCCTACCATATCACCGTACATAGTCTCTGGGTAGACAAAATGGGTTGTTTTTATTATAGAGACTACTTCTATCTAATCTATTCAAAAATATTGTACTTTCAAATTTTCAAAGTAATGGATTGGGGCAAAGCAAAGCACAACAATTCTATATTAAATAAAAAAAGAAACCATACTTATCACAACATCTATTTGTACATTAACAACACAGAAAAACTTACTATGATCTGTATGTAATTTCCTTTGTGCTGTGTTTAGTCGTATTAAAAAAATTTTAAAATTAATTTTCACCAAAACAAAAAAATTCCAAACCTCTTAAAATACTTTTATTAATATTTGATGCCACTATATCAAGATGTAGAATGATAGGTGAGAATACAATATAGAGGTGCAGCTAATAGTTTATAAAGTTTTCGAGTGACTATATATTCGCTTGCATATAAATTCCTGTGAAATATAAATAACTGAAAATTATTTTTTTCTTATGATAACTACATGTATAAGGAATATCATGATAGAGAATATGAGTACGATGTATAAAAGGAAGAAAACATGCATAGAGAATCTGTCTTTCATGAGAATGATTTTTTAGTTACTTCAATATTCAGGCAGATCATATCAGCTGCTATTCAGCACAAAAAAAGCAAGCTTACTCACAGAATTAAGAACTTTTTGAATTTGTTGTCTGGCTTCAGCTATTTCATTTTTGATAGAACTGCCCCCTGATTTACCACTTTTTTTGTCCTATAAAGACAAATGAAGTTTTCATTGCAGCAGTAACATAATTACGATAGAATATTTTTTTTCACTGAAAAATTGCTGCTAAAGATATTGAAGCCATTGCACAAAAAATATCAAGTACATTTTTTTTAAATCAGCAAAAATGAATTTTCTACAGTTATATCTAAGTTATAGCATTTGTGCTTTTTGGGGGAAAATGTCCTAAGCTGATGTGCCATAAATATAAATAAAAAATACCTAGTCTTTTAATTTATACAAGCATTCACTGATAAATAATTTTGTTTGAAAAATTACTGTACAGATGTCCTAAGCTGAAGTGTCATAAATATAGAAATGAATACCTTTAATTTATACAAGCATTCACTGATAAATAATTTTATTTGAAAAATTACCATACAGAATATATATCATGTAAGGAATGCAAATTTCCTCACCTACTTCAACAATTTAGCCTCATTCCATAAGAGACAAATGAATGTAATAATATACCAAATCCTCAAATATTGAGTATTTTAGTACATTCTCATTAATTATCCCCATTACAATATTTATACATATTATACTATAGCTAGTTTTACTAGCTTCTAGCTGTTAACAGGTACACAAATTATGTATAATACATTACAATATACCAGGACCAACTTATAATGTCCCACTCCTCATTACCTTTGCACCAGCTGCTCCTTTAGAGGCTGTCCCAGCAAGCACCTGTTGATAGTAAGCCTCAGCTTCCTCAAACTTTTGTTTGTCTCTCCAGACTGAATCGAGCATCAGAGGACTGGCCATTCTGAAATAAATTCTGTATGTATTACATATACCTAACCTGACCATATGTACTGAGATCTAATCTTATAAAACTGGTGATTAAGTCTCCAAATATGTATGGAGAAATTAATGTAGATCATGAAATAACTTAATAAGATAATTTTTTAATATAGATCTTTTAGGTGATCTTCTGGTTATTCTGCTACTAATTAAGTCCTTCTTAGTACTCATTATACATTGGTGTAAACTAGTTTTATTTTTTTAATCAAGAAATAGAAGTATCGATAAACCTGCAGGTATATTTAATTCAATTTGTTTATTGACCTATTAAGGGGCATCATGGGGCAAAGAGAAAGTGCATTGAACACTTGTGTAATGTAATCATTTACATGAAATATACATACAGACAAGAGAGAACGGGTTGTTTGATTTATATGAAAGATATACAAACAGGTAGAATAAACCAAAAGGAATATATGGTATACATGGTATATGGCCAATAACCTAATTTACATGACCTACACCCCCCCTTTTTTCCCCAAAGTCTTCGACTTCTCGCTAGCAATTGAGTAAATATGCGAAATATATATGAACGTGTATACATATTCTTAAGTTTCTGTGAAAATTATGGATGATAAAGAAATGTACTTTGTGAGATTTTAAAGGAACCGGTGACAACAACTTCAACGTGTTTCACTCGACGGCTGCTCCAACTAAAAAGGAAGTAATGTCATATGGTTTTTCAAGACATTGTTGAACGGAATAAAACGGGAAATTCCTATCTTTCTTTGATTTATTTCCAATAAACTATAAAATAAAAAATTGAAAAGTAATGCACATTTCATCATTGATTAAAATATAATTTTCAAATGAAATAAACTGAAATTTAACTGATGAAACGATAAAGAATATTGTTTTTATTGGAACAGAGTCGTCTATTTTATTCCATTTTGGAAAACTCGTCACAAACTGTCAACATGGCCATGTGGAGTAGATGTGTTTGTTTGAAAAACTGTTCTACGTTTGTGTATTTACTGTAAACCATAATATTGATAAAAAGAACAGTCATGAAGATCAAAGTACTTAGTAGAAATCCAGATGATTATCTGCGTGAAACTAAAAGAGACATCCATAAAGGCAAGTGACCAAGTGTCTGGTAGAGCCAAAAATAATACTAGTATATATCTGTAACTCTGTTGTCACATTTGTCTTGCATAACAGAGTTAAATATACTGTCTCCTCTCACCTATTTCATGCTTTTTAATTTTATCAAATTTCAGTTCAAAGAAATTACGATCCCAAGTTGCACCCTTTTGAGGCACCTAGAGAATATGTGAGGGCTTTAAATGCCACAAAATTGGAAAGAGTTTTTGCCAAGCCATTCATAGGGGCTTTAGATGGACATAGAGATGGTGTTAACTGTTTATGTAAACACCCGACATCACTGAGCTCTTTACTTTCTGGAGCTTGTGATGGAGAAGTAAGTTTTTACGATATATAAAATGACTTGCATGTATAAAGTAAAGTTTGTTATTATACTGAAGAAGTTTGGGCTTTACAGACCATGGATATCAGCCTGGATAGCTCAGTAGATAGAGCATCTGACTAGTAATGCAGGGGTCCCGGGTTTGATTCTCGGTCCAGCCCTGTGTTGTTTTCTTCGTGCATTTAATTTCTCCTCTCCTACTACAGTATTTTTCTTATCTGACATGATTTATTAAATATATCACATGTAGCTGTGTGTTTTGATATTATTAGAAAATGCTTAAGCAAAGACTTTTCATTTTATAAGTAATTTTTTTGCAGGTTAGAGTGTGGAACTTGGCAAAGAGAAATTGTGTCACGACACTTCAAGCACATGAAGGCATTGTTCAAGGAATGTGCTTTCATCCAAATGGGAGAAGCTTTTTCACAGTAAAATTTTAATTTTGATGAATTTAACTGGTGTTCTATTTAAATATTTTTAAGGTTTTAATGATATTGAATTGAATTTTATAAACCTTATAAGGATTTTTAGCTCACCTGAGCCGAAGGCTCAAGTGAGCTTTTCTGATCACATTTTGTCCGTCTTCAGTCTGTCCGTCCGTCCGTCCGTCTGTAAACTGTTCACATTTTCGACTTTTTCTCAAGAACCGATGGACCAAATTTAACCAAACTTGGTACAAAGCATCCTTGGGTGAGGGAGATTTTAAATTGTTAAAATGAAGGGCCAGGTTCTTTTCCAAGGGGAGATAATCAAGAAAAGACAAAAATAGGGTGGGGTCATTAAAAAATCTTCTTCTCAAGAACCACTGGGCCAGGAAAGCTGAAACTTATGTGGAAGCATCCTTGGGTAGTGTAGATATTAAATTGTTAAAATCACGACCCCCGGGGGTAGGGCGGGGCCACAATAGGGAATGCAAATTTTACATAGAAATATATAGAACAAATCTTTAAAAATCTTCTTCTCAAGAACCACTGGGCCAGGAAAGCTGAAACTTATGTGGAAGCATCCTTGGGTAGTGCAGATATTAAATTGTTAAAATCATGACCCCCGGGGGTAGGGCGGGGTCACAATAGGGAATGCAAATTTTACATAGAAATATATAGAACAAATCTTTAAAAATCTTCTTCTCAAGAACCACTGGGCCAGGAAAGCTGAAACTTATGTGGAAGCATCCTTGGGTAGTGTAGATTCTAAAATATTAAAATCATGTAAGGGGAGGGGGTAGGGGGCACGATAGGTACATGTATATGAAGAGGGGAAATCTGCTAAAGTACTGTATCACCTAAGTTACTCAGGTGAGCGATGTGGCCCATGTGCCTCTTGTTGTGTATATTACACAGTATAATTCTATTATATGTATTTCTGAATGGTACATTGCCCTGGGGTCTGGCTAACATCGAAGATCCCATATTTAGAACTTCATATTTTTACAGGGGAGGGGTATGGGAGGGACCCTTTCACTGTCAAAGGGAATTTGTGTTACAAGACCGGGAACCCATTTAGCTAGCCCGAGGAAAATTTAAAAAAAAACCTTATAATTCTATTATATGTATTTCCTAATAAGGGTACATTGCCCGGGGGTCTGGTTAACATCGAAGATCCCATATTTAGACCTTCATATTTTTACAGGGGAGGGGTATGGGAGGGACCCTTTCACTGTTAAAAGGAATTTGTGTTACAAGACCGGGAACCCATTTAGCTAGCCCGGAGAAAATTGGAAAAAACGTATAATTCTATTATATGTATTTCTGAATAAGAGTACATTGCCCTGGGGTCTGGCTAACATCGAAGATCCCATATTTAGAACTTCATATTTTTACAGGGGAGGGGTATGGGAGGGACCCTTTCACTGTCAAAAGGAATTTGTGTTACAAGACCGGGAACCCATTTAGCTAGCCCGAGGAAAATTTAAAAAAAAACCTTATAATTCTATTATATGTATTTCCTAATAAGGGTACATTGCCCGGGGGTCTGGTTAACATCGAAGATCCCATATTTAGACCTTCATATTTTTACAGGGGAGGGGTATGGGAGGGACCCTTTCACTGTTAAAAGGAATTTGTGTTACAAGACCGGGAACCCATTTAGCTAGCCCGGAGAAAATTGGAAAAAAACGTATAATTCTATTATATGTATTTCTGAATAAGAGTACATTGCCCTGGGGTCTGGCTAACATCGAAGATCCCATATTTAGAACTTCATATTTTTACAGGGGAGGGGTATGGGAGGGACCCTTTCACTGTCAAAGGGAATTTGTGTTACAAGACCGGGAACCCATTTAGCTAGCCCGAGGAAAATTGGGAGGGACCCTTTCACTGTTAAAAAAAAAAACCTTATAATTCTATTATATGTATTTCCTAATAAGGGTACATTGCCCGGGGGTCTGGTTAACATCGAAGATCCCATATTTAGACCTTCATATTTTTACAGGGGAGGGGTATGGGAGGGACCCTTTCACTGTTAAAAGGAATTTGTGTTACAAGACCGGGAACCCATTTAGCTAGCCCGGAGAAAATTGGAAAAAAACGTATAATTCTATTATATGTATTTCCTAATAAGGGTACATTGCCCGGGGGTCTGGTTAACATCGAAGATCCCATATTTAGACCTTCATATTTTTACAGGGGAGGGGTATGGGAGGGACCCTTTCACTGTTAAAAGGAATTTGTGTTACAAGACCGGGAACCCATTTAGCTAGCCCGGAGAAAATTGGAAAAAAACGTATAATTCTATTATATGTATTTCTGAATAAGAGTACATTGCCCTGGGGTCTGGCTAACATCGAAGATCCCATATTTAGAACTTCATATTTTTACAGGGGAGGGGTATGGGAGGGACCCTTTCACTGTCAAAGGGAATTTGTGTTACAAGACCGGGAACCCATTTAGCTAGCCCGAGGAAAATTTAAAAAAAAACCTTATAATTCTATTATATGTATTTCCTAATAAGGGTACATTGCCCGGGGGTCTGGTTAACATCGAAGATCCCATATTTAGACCTTCATATTTTTACAGGGGAGGGGTATGGGAGGGACCCTTTCACTGTTAAAAGGAATTTGTGTTACAAGACCGGGAACCCATTTAGCTAGCCCGCAGAAAATTGGAAAAAACGTATAATTCTATTATATGTATTTCTGAATAAGAGTACATTGCCCTGGGGTCTGGCTAACATCGAAGATCCCATATTTAGACCTTCATATTTTTACAGGGGAGGGGTATGGGAGGGACCCTTTCACTGTTAAAAGGAATTTGTGTTACAAGACCGGGAACCCATTTAGCTAGCCCGGAGAAAATTGGAAAAAAAAAACGTATAATTCTATTATATGTATTTCTGAATAAGAGTACATTGCCCTGGGGTCTGGCTAACATCGAAGATCCCATATTTAGAACTTCATATTTTTACAGGGGAGGGGTATGGGAGGGACCCTTTCACTGTCAAAGGGAATTTGTGTTACAAGACCGGGAACCCATTTAGCTAGCCCGAGGAAAATTTAAAAAAAAACCTTATAATTCTATTATATGTATTTCCTAATAAGGGTACATTGCCCGGGGGTCTGGTTAACATCGAAGATCCCATATTTAGACCTTCATATTTTTACAGGGGAGGGGTATGGGAGGGACCCTTTCACTGTTAAAAGGAATTTGTGTTACAAGACCGGGAACCCATTTAGCTGGGAGGGGTATGGGAGGGACCCTTTCACTGTTAAAAGGAATTTGTGAAAAGCTAGCCCGGAGAAAATTGGAAAAAAACGTATAATTCTATTATATGTATTTCTGAATAAGAGTACATTGCCCTGGGGTCTGGCTAACATCGAAGATCCCATATTTAGAACTTCATATTTTTACAGGGGAGGGGTATGGGAGGGACCCTTTCACTGTCAAAGGGAATTTGTGTTACAAGACCGGGAACCCATTTAGCTAGCCCGAGGAAAATTTTAAAAAAAAACCTTATAATTCTATTATATGTATTTCCTAATAAGGGTACATTGCCCGGGGGTCTGGTTAACATCGAAGATCCCATATTTAGACCTTCATATTTTTACAGGGGAGGGGTATGGGAGGGACCCTTTCACTGTTAAAAGGAATTTGTGTTACAAGACCGGGAACCCATTTAGCTAGCCCGGAGAAAATTGGAAAAAAACGTATAATTCTATTATATGTATTTCTGAATAAGAGTACATTGCCCTGGGGTCTGGCTAACATCGAAGATCCCATATTTAGAACTTCATATTTTTACAGGGGAGGGGTATGGGAGGGACCCTTTCACTGTCAAAGGGAATTTGTGTTACAAGACCGGGAACCCATTTAGCTAGCCCGAGGAAAATTTAAAAAAAAACCTTATAATTCTATTATATGTATTTCCTAATAAGGGTACATTGCCCGGGGGTCTGGTTAACATCGAAGATCCCATATTTAGACCTTCATATTTTTACAGGGGAGGGGTATGGGAGGGACCCTTTCACTGTTAAAAGGAATTTGTGTTACAAGACCGGGAACCCATTTAGCTAGCCCGGAGAAAATTGGAAAAAAACGTATAATTCTATTATATGTATTTCTGAATAAGAGTACATTGCCCTGGGGTCTGGCTAACATCGAAGATCCCATATTTAGAACTTCATATTTTTACAGGGGAGGGGTATGGGAGGGACCCTTTCACTGTCAAAGGGAATTTGTGTTACAAGACCGGGAACCCATTTAGCTAGCCCGAGGAAAATTTAAAAAAAAACCTTATAATTCTATTATATGTATTTCCTAATAAGGGTACATTGCCCGGGGGTCTGGTTAACATCGAAGATCCCATATTTAGACCTTCATATTTTTACAGGGGAGGGGTATGGGAGGGACCCTTTCACTGTTAAAAGGAATTTGTGTTACAAGACCGGGAACCCATTTAGCTAGCCCGGAGAAAATTGGAAAAAAAACGTATAATTCTATTATATGTATTTCTGAATAAGAGTACATTGCCCTGGGGTCTGGCTAACATCGAAGATCCCATATTTAGACCTTCATATTTTTACAGGGGAGGGGTATGGGAGGGACCCTTTCACTGTTAAAAGGAATTTGTGTTACAAGACCGGGAACCCATTTAGCTAGCCCGAGGAAAATAAAAAAAAAACTTATAATTCTATTATATGTATTTGTGATTAAGGGTACATTGCCCTGGGGTCTGGCTAACATCGAAGATCCCATATTTAGAACTTCATATTTTTACAGGGGAGGGGTATGGGAGGGACCCTTTCACTGTCAAAGGGAATTTGTGTTACAAGACCGGGAACCCATTTAGCTAGCCCGAGGAAAATTTAAAAAAAAACCTTATAATTCTATTATATGTATTTCCTAATAAGGGTACATTGCCCGGGGGTCTGGTTAACATCGAAGATCCCATATTTAGACCTTCATATTTTTACAGGGGAGGGGTATGGGAGGGACCCTTTCACTGT